GGGGGGGGGGGGCACACAAAACCACTGCTTTTTTGGCAAAAGTTCCCATTGAGATATCAAAGAAAGTTTAAAAGCATAAGCAAACCATTTTTCAACAGTTCTCCTGAAAAATAAGAGGTAAGTAGCCTTCACAAAAACCCATGCTTATTATTTAAATTCTAAACAACTAACATGGTGGCAGTGTGGAATTGGGGGGTGGGGGGTAGATCAAGACAGCTTAAGGGTGTTATTTCAAGTTTTCACCTACAACTCTGCCAAGGTCTGAATCTTACTTACTTCTGGCTCACTGTACCATTGAGGCTGGTAATCTGTTAATATCTTCTGAGTGAGCGCCAATTAATACTCAAAATTTTTTCCTATGAAGTTCTTTGGTACTCACATAATAAACAGCTTTCATAACTTTTATTTTTTGGCCTATACATATCCCTTATCACTACTATACTTTAAACCTTAAACACAGTACTAGGCACAATGACAAATAAGAATATTACAGACATGAAGTTATTTAATATTCACTACATGTTTGTTAATTAGCTGCTATATTAAAATTCCAGTTGCTGGTTCAAATACTCAAGACTCCTGAATCCCTGCCATGGTAGGACATATATATATATATATATAAAAATCTGTATTGTTTTCTTTGGCTCTTAGTCTTTGCTGTCCAGCATACCTAGTACCCTAGTACCTTGAATACAGCAAATAGTGTTTGCAAACTGAATAAACAATCACATCTTATATAGCTCAGATATCATTCTAGACTCATCTAGAATCAGATCTACATTTTTAGTTGACTTGTTTTTGATTTTGGGGGCACAAAGAAAAGTTAAATCTGAGGTTTGTCTCTAAGTATACATACTTCGTCCCGGCTTTCGGATCTCTTTCATTATTTGTGCTTTTAATTCAGTATTGACCTCTTCATGGCTTCTGCAATGTATTACTTTCTTTCCCTTGCTGAGTGAAGATGCTGGTATACTCTCTTCAACACATTGTTCTTTATCTCTTGACTCCTCATGATTTTCTAAAAACCCACCAACAGTGAGGTCATTAGTTCCTAAATGGTCATGACTAAGAGCTTCTGTATGATTGGTTGGTCGGTCCAGTAAACTGGCTGGAGAAGATGCTGAAAATTCAGTATCCATAGCATTTGGTGTAATGTCTGATGAAAGTTGGTCTGCAACATGATTTTCAACCATATCATCTATTGTTGAATCATTAGTGGTTTCTGAAACTAAAAACAAAGGCCAAAAAAATTGAGAGCCAATATCAAAAACACAATAAAGTTGTAAAGAAACATTATTAGAGCAAATCACAACTGGCTTCCTTGACTAATGCAAATTTAGAAATTTTACAATATGGTTAAGCTTTGCCAAATATATGGTGAGATTTCAATGAGAAGCATTCACAATATTTACAAAATCTGTACAATTTTGTTCCACAGAAAACAAATTTTTAATTATGCTAATTTCAGAAAGCTTTTAGTTCTCTGCTTTGCTCTATGGCAATTTTATTGAAAAGCGGGTTTTCAATACTTTTATGCAAGATATATGATCAAAACTGTCACAGTCACTTTTACCTTAGAAAGCTCTAGCTCATTTCACTCTACTTCTGCCTTATACATTATCAGTTAGAGACAAGAATAAACACTAACCAGTTTATATTTTCTCAAATTCTTCAGGTAACATACCATCAAACAGATCGTATTTCACAGTACAAACTTTTCTTACCATCATCAATTTAGTCCTCATAAACTGAGTAAAGCAAAGCAACCTGGTGCTCACTTTAGCTCATTAGACCACCAAAAGACTGGAAGCTTGCCACTAAACACCACATTATTAGACTCACTCTCCAAGGACCGGAGCCGAATTCTAAGTTCTCTGACTGTTCAACACCAGGGTGAACTCATCTCTCCTGTCTCAAGTGTAAATGTCCTATTTACCCCATCCCTTGTATACTCATCCCCACAAATCCCAATCACCTGACTTCATTCTAAATCCTATTCCATGATTTGGAAATGCTTCTTTACTAAATGTACTCCACAACAATTTATGCTTTACTCCTACAAAAAACTGCTCTCCTTTTCAGATCTGAAGAAAAATCGTTCTCTCACATGCTACCCATGAGCTTAAAATCAGGACACAGAGTCACTGATTTCCTTACCTCTCAATGTAATTTCAAGATTTCACCTATGTACTTTTGTTTAAAACAAGCAAGCAAACCACTTGCTCTTGTGAGGCTTGGCGGTGCCACCTGCCATCCTTCTCATTACTGCATCTTAATATGCAGTCCAGGGCATATGCTTGTGGCACCAATCTCTCTGGCATCTGGCTCACAGTCCATAACCAAGTTTCTCCTCACATCATCATTACAGGTCCTCATTACTCTGAGTGTGGTCTGTGAAGCACAGTCTGTGGCTTACGGATAGAATATTTGCCTAGTATGCACATGGCCCTGGGTTCAATCCACAACACCACTACCACCAAAAAAAAAAAAGAAGAAAAAGCAAACATCAAAATGTGGTCTGTGGAAAAATGGCTTTAATACCATCACAGAGCATCCTAGAAACCAAGTGAGAATCAATAGTTTAACTAGACCCCCAGTTGATTCTCATATGCAAAGTTTGAGAAGTGTTGTGGTAACCAATGTCTAAGCAGATCATCTCTCAAGGACCTGGTCTCACCGGGTGTGGTGGTACATGCCTGTAATGCCAGCACTCAGAAGGCTGAGGCAGGAGGATCCCCAAGAGTTCAAGGCCAGCCTGGGTTACACAGTGAGCTCAAGGCTAGTCTGAACTACATGGCAAGACCCTGTCTCAAAAAACAAAACAAACTAAAAACATGGTCTCATCAATCCTCAATTTCTTATCTCCAAAGAACTTCTTTCTACTTATACTTTGGCTTCTTCCATCCAACACAAATTCAGGGACGGAAATATGTAACCCTCATCTTTGTAGTACTCTTGTATTTGGTCTCTAACACAGCCAGTAACTCTTCTACTTTACCCCTCCCTATTGATCAGACTCCTGCTAGATAGCCACTCTCTTATTGATCAGGCTTATATGCCACAATAGATCATTTTTTTAAATCAAATGCCCTACTTATATCTATTGTCTTCCTACAGCATCTGACAAGCAGATGACTGGCTCTTATCTGCTTGCCCCTCCCCTACATTCCAAATGATAAGCACTGCTGAAAGAAACAAGACCCAGCTCTCTAGAAAGTAGTCACACTGCCTAACAATCTTATTACCACCCCTTCTTCACTATCTTCAAATCTCTGATTTTCCCTATTTCCAGTTCCTTCCCAACAGTATTATTTCATTTCCTACTTCACTGGGGAAATAAAAAGAAAAGCAAAGGCATTGGCCAGGAATTTCTGAAGTCCCCCTACTAGATTTGTACCCACACTCATTCTATTCAATGGAAGCAGCATTCTCTTATCAGTGCTCTGGACAGTTCCTCTTGTCTTCTTGGTGATTTTGTGTTGATTATGCCTTCTTTCATCTTCATTTTCTACTTCTCCTTCTCTGTTTACCAGCACTTAAACACTATCAAGTCTCTTTGATCTTAAAATTGCTCACTTTCAATCCCATGAATTCTTCTAGCTATCATTCATTTTTACATCTACTCTCTACAGCTAATCTTCTTAAACTGGTTGCTTATACAATTCATTTTTTCTATTTTCTAACTTCTCATTCCTCACTTAACCTTTTTTAGACTTATGCCTGTTAGACTCTATAGAAACTGCTCTTGCTAAAATAGCACACTTCTGAAAATACACACTTCTGAACTAAACTTAACTTTATTTCTTCTTCTAGACCATCCAGTGTCTCAAGACAGAAGCCTGCTTCCTCCTTTACCGAGCCCAACGTTCAGTCACTAAGTCCTTTATTGGTATCCCCAAGTATTCCATAAGCACATATTCTCACTACTCCACAGTCAGGCCACAATCATATTTTCCCTGGGTTACCTGTGCATGCACAATAATTATTTACTAACATCAAATATCAAGGGAGTGTTCACATTCTCCAATTACATTACACATTTTCTGTTCGTAGAATTGATTCTGGGTCCAAATTAAGCCTATATATTGCTACCTGGTATGTCTCCTATCTACCTTTGACTCTTTAAAATCCTCTGTACTTTTCTTTTTACTAATGCACTTTGTGGGGGGGATATGCAACTATTTGTCTGCCCTGCAGTTTTTGTACAATCTGGATTTTGCTGATTTCATCCCTGATTTTTCCTTTAACCTGTTTCTCTGTTCCTTGTATTTCCTTTGAATTGGCAGTTAGATCCAAAGGCTTGATCACATTCACATTTACTTTTGAGGATCACTGTGGGAAAGGGCCAAGTCCATCTCAGAGGGAGTATTGTATAATTCCATCAAGGGGTATATAATATTTGGTTTCTTTCCAGTTAAAATGTTATAAACCAGGAATGAACACTACTTGTTAATTAATAAATTCATTAGTTCATTTAGAGTTCCTTACATTCATTTTTGCCTCTCTGATAATATTCCCCATATTACTGTCAGCATGGTCTTTATAAAACCTAATTATACCAGATCATCCCCTCTTTCAAACTTTTTTTTTTTTTTTGGTACCAGGGATTGAACTCGGGTCCTTGTGCTTGGGCAGCAGGCGGCAAAACCACTGAGCTAAATCCTTGGCCCTCTTTCAAACTTTTTAATGAATTTTTTCTTTAGCTTAAAGTAGAGACTCTACCATAGCTTCCAAAGCCCTCTGTATCTGGCTTCTTTCAGTTTTCACCTTACCTCATGCCTAACAACCCTTGCTATACTTCAGATCCCTTAAAGTCCTTTTCTTTATATATATTCAGATTACTCTTCTGGTATAGGCAAATGCACAGCTTGATTTAACTAATTCCTATTCATCTATTAATATAACTTCCTCAGGAAAAGGTCTTGGCCTCATCAACTAATTTAAATCCTCTTACCAAATATTTTCACAATATGCTTCCTTTTTTAACATTCATCAGAGTTCTAATTATCTTGCCAATGGCTTTCTTTCCCTGTTCATTGTAAATGAGGGTGGAGAGCACCACTTATTCACTCCTTGCTATACCTCAATGCTTAGCATTATCCAAGATAATATATGTATTTAATAATCAGTTGTTGTGTTTAACTGAAATTCAAAGCCATGTTTCTGCTAGTATGGTAATGTTCATTTAAATGTCTTTTAAGCTCAAATTCTTACTTTTATGAAGCGAAAGGGGTTTAATAAGATCTGGCTGTGTTTGAGTTATAGGTGCAGGTGGTCCTTTTCCTCCAATATGATTGTTCACAACAGGGTTCTGCTGTCTGCCTCGTAGTAGTGGAGACATACACCGACGTCTTTTGGGGATCCCTTGCATATTTGGTTCTCCAGGTCGTTTATGTTTATTTTGAGGTCCAGCCACAAATTCATCTGCTTCATCTATCATCATTCCCTATAAAAAGAACATAATTTTCTCAGACTTACACTCATTTTTAAATATTTACCATTTATTTAAATTGATGAATAATTGTATTTATAGAATACAATATGATCGTTTGCTCTATTTAGACACTGTAGAAAGAATTAAGCTAATTAACATATCCATCACTTCACTACTTTTTGATAATACTCCACACATTACTGTCAGCATGGTCATTATAAATTGCTATTTAGATCAGATCACCTATTCTTTCAAACTTTTTAATGCATTTTTGTCTTTAGCTTAAACTAGAGATTTCTACAATAGATTCCAAAGCCCTCCCTCCATATGTAGTTTCTTTCAGTTCTCACTTTACTTTATGCCTAACACCCTTTGTTATTTTAACAATAAAGAGTAATAAAATAATAAAAATCTGCTCTTTTAACATTTTGAAATACCTAATAAATTATTACTATTGTCACCACGTAGTGCAACAGTTCACTAAAACTTATTCTTTCAAGTCTGAGACTTGGTACCCTCTCATCAGTGTCTTTTCCTTATCCCCAACCCCACAGCTTCTTGAAACCACCTTTCTACAGTGGTACTTTGGTTCACAAACTTGATTCTTTGCACAATTCTGGTGGCAAACTGAGCTGAGCAAGAACCAAATCAAATTCAGTGGTTAGGTTCAATGTTGACCTTAAGGGGAAATTTGATTTGGTTTGTGTCCAGTTCAGTTTGAACCAAGTGAGCCAAGTGAAATGAATACAGTGAATGAGAGGCACCACTGTACTTTCTATCAAAAAATAGAATTTTCTTGGATTTACAATTTTGAAATGGCATAACTAATCCAAATTCTACTTACAACAACTGCAGTAATACCTTGGTTCACAAACGGTTCTGTCTGCAAACAATTTAGTTCTCAAACAAAAGTGTTTTGACAAAATCTGGCTTCTATTCACAAACTCCACATCAGGTAACAAAACCACAGCCATCTCCCTTACACAAACACAAAACAGCCATATTCCTCAAAATTGTAAAAGAAATTAAGTTTGTGAACCAAAGTATCACTGTACTATATATTCTAAGTATGCTGACATTGCTCTATGAGGAAAATAGCTTCAGCTTACTTTAGCTAAATTAAGAACTATTAAATTGACAGTGCCTACCACAAGCAAATTATGTAACAGAACATTTCAAAATTACCTTTTTATCCAGCTTAAAGGGGTTACCAAATGTATGTAGCCTTCGAGGCTGATCAGGATCAAGTTCTCTTAGTGGAGAAGGTACCTGCTTGAGATATTCCTGGTAATTCCCCATTTGTGCTATAGGAACACTGTGCACTTGATCTTTTCAGAGAAAATATAACATAAATTAACCTCTTTGAAATTATATTCCCACCTAATTATCAAATATGAGTGCTACCTAACGTTATTCTAAAGTCTTTATTACATATTATAAGTTAGTATGGTTGGTGCAATTATAAACATGACAAAGTCTAAGATTTTTAAAGTAAAACTTAAAATAATGATTTCATTTCCTAAACCAAACAAAAATATTGCAGTTAATCTAACTGTACCAAATAAGCAATATATGTAACCCTGCCATAAAAAGGTATATCTCTTCTACTCTATTCTAAATAGACAAAAATTCATAGTAGAATTTGTAGAAAATAGTATAGTAGAAAATTTACACAGATATAAAACTAATTAGCATGCTTAAATCACAGATGTCGAGGGTTTAGATTGTTATCTGACTTGATTTGGAGTAGCTGCCACCAATACAGTGCCACAAATACAATAAGGAAACATCAGAACAAGCTATATAATGGCCATCCAGAGTTTATCAGATCCTAAGGTGTCTCAAGAAAACGATTATGTATGAGTGTCTATGTGTATGAATAAATGAGAAAACCTAAGAAGAAAACTAATTTCTTAACAAAGGTTGCTACTTCTGGGGAACAGAATTTGGGGCAACAGTGATGGTAAAAAGGAAAGGAGAAAAACAGGGATGATTCATTTTTACTTCATTTGCTTGAATTCACAATGAGAATACTTTCAATTTTACATTAGTGTAGTATGCTTTTTCAGAGTATAAAGGAAAAAAATTTCAAAAATTAACAAATATTAAAACCATAGGGCCGGGGATTTAGCTCAGTGGTTTCACCACCCACTGCGCAAGCGCAAGGACCCGAGTTCAATCCCCGGTACCAAAAAAAAAAAAACCATAATCTAACCTTCATCCTGTCCTTTAAGAAATTTGCGGGTGCTCTTCAAAAGATTCGATCTCATTCTTGTTAAGTGATCCAAAAGATTCCGTCTTGGTATGTCATAAGCATTTCTAAATGTCTGAGGCTTCAAATCCTATTGGAAAACATTCATGGGAAGGACATAATTTATTTTCAAACAAAAATAAAATAGACTAAAATCTCTGGCCTGTAGCATAGGTTTGGAAATAAGACATATTAACTAGTTAGCAAAAAAGAAATATTATAATATAACCTAAATATACTGTTTTAGGTCCAAAAGATGGAAATTTGGTGATCTCAACCAAATACCGTAATCTAAAATTCATACCGAACTTTATTATGTAATTCTGGATAAAGTAAAGTCATCTAAGTAAAAACTAATTTCTAAATTATAAAACCTGAAGGGTTTAAATAGCTCTGATGAGTTGGGTGTGGTGACACATGCCTGTAAACCCAGCACTGGGGTAGCTGAGGCAGGAGGATCATTGTGAGTTCAAGGCCAGCTTGAACTACATACTGGGACCCTGTCTCAAAAACAAAACCAAACAAAAAATAAATAAATAAATAGCTCTGGTGTATACTTTACATACCATAAAATCACATATTGTACAGTTTGGTGAATGTCAGTAAATTTATAGTTGTAAAACTATCACCAAAACTCAGTTTTAGAATACTTTCACTATTCCAGAAAGCTCCTGGTACCCATCTGTAGTTAATCCCTATTCCTAACTCCAAGCAACAATTGATCAGCCTTTTGTATACAGTGGACCTCAAGTTATGACTGGCCTGACATATGAACAACTGGAATTTAACTTACAAAGTCTTGAGTTACAACCCAAATGCCAGCCACTTGTACTTCCAGATGGTCTCAGATACAAATTTAACCCTTAAAGAGCTCTGGAAGGAACATTACAACATCCTTCCCTATGTGGGGTTAACTGAGAAATCCCGGGCCAATGTCTCAAAGGACACTGAGATCAGCCTGTATACAGGACAGAGATTTTGAAGATTGTGTACAGGAGCCTGAATCTTCAATTGGCCAACCCTTGTGAACGAACTGAGTTCATAAGTCAAGGATCCACTGTATTGCATTTTATAAACTGAATCTTGCAATAACATTTTTTATCTGGCTTCTTTCACTTAGCATGGTATTCTCGAGATTCATCCCTGTTGTTCATGTATTAGTTCATTCTTTATTCCAGAATAGTATTTCATTTTATGGATACAGTACAATTTTTTAAATCTATTTACCAGTTGAACACTGTTTTTGACTATTTTACGTAATGCTGCTATGAGCATTTATACTGTCTTGAGTAAATACTTACAAACAGTATTGCTGATTGTATAGCAAACATATGTTTAACTTCTTAAGAAACTACCATTTTTTATCTGCAACATATGAGCATTCTATTTTTTCTACCTCACCAACAGTTCATACTTTCCAGTCTTCTACATTGTAGCGACTCTTAATACATTTGATGTATCTCATTATGGTCTTAATTTGCATTTCCCTAATGACTAATAAGACTGTCCATCTCTTCAATATGCCCATTTGCATTTGCACATCATCTTTGGTGAAGTGTCTGTTTATCTTTTCCTTATCAAGTGTGAATCATTTATTCTGAAGTAAGTCCTTTATTTGATCCACTTTTCTCTGGGCTGTAGCTTGCCTGGTTTTTTGTTTTGTTTTGTTGTTTTAAAGTTTCTTTTGAAGGGCAAAATATTTCTATATACTGAAGGTCAACTTATCAGTATTTTTTGGTTTGTGTTTTTTGTGCTTATTTTATAAATCTTCTCTAGCCCAACATCATCTGATTTTCCCCTGGGTCTGTGAATTCTTTTCTAGAAGTTTATGGTTCAATTCTTACATTCAAGACCACGATCACTTCAAATAATGTGAGGTAACAAGTTCATTATTTTGTACATGGATACCCAATTGTTTCAGCACCCTCTGTTCAAGATTTTTTTTACCAGTTTAGTGTGGCCCCTTTGTTAAAAATTAATTACTGGTAACTATATGCCTGAGGACCTTCTTCTAGGCTCTTATTTTTTTCTGAAAAGACAAGATATTACAGAAGAAAGACTTTTACATTTCACCATGTACAAAAATCAACTCAAAGTAGATAAAAGACCCACATATTAGACCTGAAACTCTAAAACTACTAGAAGAGAACATAGGGCAAATACTTTGGGACATTGGTAAAGACAAAGATCTTTTGGATAGGACCTGCAAATCGTAGCCAACAATAGGAAAAGAAGATAAATGAGATTATATGAAAATAAGGGAGTTGTGAACAGCAAAGGAAATAATCAAGAGTGAACTGATAATCTACAGACACACAGAAAATATTTGCAAACTATTCATCTGAAAAGGTATTCATATCCAGACTATACAAGAAATTCAAATAGGTCAACAGCAAATAAGCGATCTGATTTTAAAAACAACAAATGATATCAGATGTATTTCTCAAAAGAAGATATAAAATTACCCAATAAACATACAAAAAATGCTCAACATTGCTAATTATAAGGAAAATGTAAATCAAAAGCACAGAAGGGCTAGGGATGTAGCTCACTGGCAAGAGCACCTGCCTGGCAAGCCTAAGGCCCTGAGTTCAATTCCCAGTACCAAAAAGCAAAAAAGTAAAACCATAGAGAGACATGCCAGCTCACCCCAGTTAGAATAACTACCATCAAAGATACTACCTCAACATTTTGTTGAGGATGTAGAGAAATAGAAAATCTCATACACTCTGGATTGAGAATGCAAACCAATATATCCACTATGGAAAAATATGGAGATTTCTCAAAAATTCCCAAACAGAACTCCCATATGATTCAGTTATACTATTACTGAAAATACAACCAAAGGAAAGAAAATTAGTATGTAGAAGAAATATCTGCACTCCTATGTTTATTGTAGCATTATTCACAATAGTAAAGATATGGAATCAAATCAATTGTTCAATGAAAGATAAAGAAAATAGGTATATACAATGGGGTAATATTCATGTCATCTGTGACAACTTGGATGAGCATAAAGGGCATTACAGTATATTTAATGAAATAACCCAAGGGAGCAGACAAATACCAAACATTCTCATTCACCTGTGGAAGCTAGAAAAGTTGACCTCATAGAAGTAGAGTAGAATAGAGGTCACAATAGGCTGGGAGAAGCTTAGAGGACAAGGGTATTAGAGGATAAATAGTGATACCAAAAAGTAGATCAATAGGAAAAATACAGCATATGGTAGTCTTAGTATATGGTGGTCACAATCAAGCAGCATATCCCACTGTGATAACTGAATTTCCCAACTATTTCCAAATGTCTAGATTCTTTCTTGTTCTACCCATCTGTATACTTATTCTTCTGCCAACACCACACTGTGGTTGCTACAGCTTTACAGAGAGTCAAATGATATAAGTCCTCCAACTTTATTCTTTTTCAAAGTTTCTTAGCTACTTCAGAACTTTTACATTTCCATATAAATTTTAGAATCAGCATACTTTTATCTACAAAAATGCTGCTGGGATGAACATGATAATAAAGCCTCTTAGGGACATCAGTATAAGTACCATAATACAGTGAATTCTACCATCAGCTGTATAACTTTAGGCAAACTCCAAGCCTATTTTCTCATCTATAAAGTGACTTATCGTTCACTTTTTAATAAATCTACTCACTTATTCAAACACCATATGCAGTTTTTATTTTAATTCTAGAATTCAGTGCTTCAATTAGAGTATATTATTATTCTACAGGACTATTAATGTACTTTTCAAATTGTGGATAAACTGAATCAGTTAACGTAAGATTTGATTTATTCAATAACACAAAATACAGTATAACATAGCTAGGAGTGCTAAATTGACTCTTACCTTATTTAGCAAAGCAACTTGGAACCCAGTATATTCCTTCATATTAAGATCTAGAAGTCTGTGAGGAATATCCTCTGAAATTCCCTGGAGTAGTTGTTGAAAATCTTTCCTATATGCCATTGATAAGCCATGTGTTCGGCTTCTAACTTTAATGCCAGTTTCCTGTACTACTTTTTTGCCTACAGATCCTATGACTCGATCAGATTCTATTTTGGCCTAAAAACAAACAAGAGTTGTTTTGTTATAATCTAAATTGAAAAATCATAAAGTAAATAGTTACGGTCTACTATAAATTATTTATTTTTATAGTAAGAAATTAAAACCTTAAGTATAGTTTTTGTTGAGTACTAGGTAAATACAATCTAAAAAATAATACCTTATAATTTTAAATCATTAGAACTGTAAACTTTTGGAGCAAGACAAACAAATGCAACTTCAATTTATTTGTTAACACCCATTACATTTAAACCATGAAGTATAAATACTTCATAAGTGAAAATGTGTATTCCCAATTCAAAGGTGATTCAAAGAAAAGAAAAAAAAAACTCATCAATATTGCTTGAAGATATGGTTATTAACACATAACCAAACAGTCATAGATATGGCAAATAATGGTACAACTTTTCTCTGGAAAGTAAACAGCAATATTTTGATTCTAAACTGCATTTTGAGTAGCAGTAAAGATAAAGGTATCACACATACTGGAAAAAGTATGTACTACTAGGGAACTGTACTACCTCTTAGTGCGTTTTATGGCCAAAATGACAAAATTCAGTGTTTTTACAAAAATTTTAAAAAGAAACTTCCATTCTAAAAGAAACAATCAAGTTTTAAAACATAAAGCAAAAGAATCATTTTTTTCTAAGAATAACAACTTTCTAATATAAATTTCTCAAAGGAAAACACAAGTAATGATCATATACAGGAAGTCTAGGACCACATTAGTAAAGCCATTTTCATAAATTCGTAATAAAAATTTTTAAATTAACATAGCATACTTGACTTGAGAAAACTGTATTATCATATATATATATGGTTTTAAAATGTAACGTGTTAATATAATGGAATGCCATTGGAACCATCAAGAACTAGCTTTGAGCCTATTAACTATCTTAGGTAAAATTATTCAAACAGTTAAAGGCCCACTTCTATTTTCTGACATTACCTGTTGACTTAATTTTTTGAGGTATGAAATGACACTGTAACTGAGTCCATACTCCATACTATCTGCTATTAAATTAGGTGCTCCCATCATTCTAACAGCTTTCTTCAAGGGCTGTAGAAAAAAAGAAGAAACGGCATTCAATATTAAGCTTGTTAAAATTGTATGGCTACAGTTATACAGTTTTAAAACTTTCAACAAAAAACTTCCTGTCCTTTTCCTCAAAAGGAAGTAATATAACCATATTTCTATTTCAGTAAAATGTTTATCAGTGGTATGAAAGCAGTCTGATTACAGCTAAAAGAATAAGAGGCCATGAAATTTCCAAAGCTCAAAAAGTAAAGTCTGTACTGCTCACTGCTTGCTACTATTAGGAGATACCTGTTTAGAAGAATATAGACAGGAGACAGACTGTAATAGGAAGAGTTGATAAAAACTAGGATGTAAGTAAAAAGGATACTCGAGAAAAGTGCAAGATTTCTGCTTTGGATTAATGGTTGGGTTGTGGATCAATTCTCACTAGCTATGTGATCCTGGGGCAGTTATAAAACTTCTCTTAGTTTCTCACATGTAAAATAGGGATAATAAAACTCCCTATCCTTATGGGGTTGTCCTGGAGTTAACATGAGTCCATATATGTGAACCATTTATAAAAGCATCTGGCACACAGTAAGCATTCAATGGATGTTAATCATTAAAAAAGTCTATTATTTATAATGGATATGGTATGGTGAAAAAGCTTTCAATTTTAAGAACATATTGAGAACCACTTTGTGCAATAAAAAAAAAAATCAGTAGTAGAAGCATCTAGTGTATGTGAACGGGACATAGGTAGAGAAACATAACCAGTGGTGTATTAGAAAGTGTATAAGCACTGGTGTCAACATGGAATCAACTCCCAGCTTTGATTTAATAACCACACAGCTTTGGCTAAGTATTAGGGGTTGCCATGAAAACTAAATGAGTCCATACATGTACCAGTTCATTCCTATGTAAGGTGTTTCTCCTGTTTGCTAGATTTCCAACAACTTATCTCTTATCCATCTCTTACATAAAATGTTATGACTTTCAAAGCTCAAGAAATTAATCTTTAGGCAGGCATAGTAAGTAGCACATGCTCATAACCCCAGCATCCTGACTGGCTGAGACAGAAGGATCACAAGTTTGAGCCCAGCCTGGTAACTCAGCAATTTACAAGACCTGTCTCAAAATAAAAAACAAAAAGGTTGGAGATGTAGCTCAGTGCAAAGACCCTGGGATTCATTTCCTTGTACTCACCTCCATTCCCACCCACCTCGGCTGCAAAAAAAAAAAAAAAAAAACAACCCAGAGGAAAGAAAGGAATAAGAGAGGGTGATGATAGGGATGGATCATTTAATTATATATTGGGGACCATTCAGAAAGACTACCTGCAGTCAAGTGCTGTTATATTCTGGCATCAAAAGCAGAAGGGGCCAAGAATATAGCTCACCAGTAGAGAACTTGCCTAGTATACACAAGACCCTAAGTCCCTCCCCAGTACCGCCAAGAAAAAAGCAGAATTATTTAAAAGTGGTTTTAATGTAGTCTCTGGAAACATATATTTATTCACCTAAAAACATTTCTGAAGATTTAGAAAATAATGTAACAAAAAACATTTTTCACCTTAAAGAAAAATAATCATAAAACTACAATTCAAAAAAGTAGTGTAAGAATCAAGGTTAAAAGCCAGACTGAATTTCAGTACTTCATCCCCCCATATATTAACCATGTAGCCTTGGACGAATTGCTTAACCTTTAGTGGCTTAGTTTCCTCATCTGTGAAATAGGAACACTCTTAATATCTCCCTCACAGAGCGACTGTAAGAATTAAACTATTTTAACATATTTCAGGAGCTCAGGGGAGTACCTTGCCTAGAGTAAGCAATATATAAATACTCATGATCATTATCATTATTCTTTAAATCACTACTATTACTACTGCATCTATATCAGCCATTTGTATACTCAATTTTCAGATTTAATCTATAACAACAATAAATAAAAGTTGAGAATTTCTTCAATAAACTGTTAAGCATAATATAAAATTTTATAACAGGTTCTATTTTTAACAATAATCTTACCCCGAGATAGTAGGGAGGCATTGTCTTCAAATAACTTTCAAACGACTGTCTCCATTTCAATGTTGGTTTTGCTTTATGCACTTTAAACAAGTCATCTAGAAATATATATCATGAACAAACCTATCATCATGCATTGTTTTCACATATAAAAATCAAATCAGTTTCCTCTGTGAAGTCAGCTTTGTTATTTGTGAGAAAATAACATCAGACATTAAGTTTTTATCAAAATTAAAAGCAGTAAAACTTCTAGTTCTGTTGTTTTGATTTATAACACTGTGCTAAAAACTGAAAGGTACAGTTTATGGCCTAAAAATTATATCTAATAATGAAATAAAATCAGAAAATACAAAAGGAAATTACATCTAATAGTGAAATAAAATCAGAAATAAAATCAGAAAATACACAAGAAAAAAAAACTATGCCAAGCGCAAGGACCCGAGTTCGATCCCCGGTACCAAAAAATAAATAAATAAAACAGAAAAAACCTATGCCCTGTCTAGAACTAGACACAGGTTCAAGGAAAGAAAAACTATGAAGAATACTTTCTATTAAAATGTACCTAACCTACTAATGTTTTGACTGTAACTTAAATCTGATGACTCTCGTGGAGGGTAAGTAGTTTTCTCTAACACTACTTCTCAAAAATTGATAGCCAGATGATATCTAGAAACTAACTTTAGGCTGTCTCATAATAATTTCAAACATATTCTTTTGTTAAAATATTTGCCAAATAAAAACTAACGTTAGATAAATTCTTTAAAAATGCACTCAAATTTTGTGAATATAAAATGTCTTAGACAAACAGAAACTCTACAAATTCTAAATATGTAAGTCTTACCTGCAGAAAAATTAGAATATTTAATAATTTAAGTATAATACCTTTATTAGTTTATAGAATAAGAGATATTTCAACACTCACTTTATCATAAACATGAACAGGTTATTACAAAAATTTCTTTAAATAGGTTTAGTATTTTAAAATATTAAAAACATTTTCATTACTTTTTAAAGAAAAACTACAAAAATACTCTCAAAGTTTGTCCTTCAGAGAATTTTTATATATGCCACACAAAAGAGAACATGACAAAAACAGCTTACCTAAGAGGGGAAGGAGGACTGGATAATTGTAAGGCATCACAAATAGGTTGACACAGTTCAGTGCTGTACTGGCTTTCAAGTAACCGAAAGGATGGCCAAGTTCACTATATTTTGCACTATTGCTCACATACACCTGGTTAAAAACAAAGTTAAAATTTCATATTTAATAACTTTTAAATAATACTATGCAAACTACTGAGTTTGTTTTTTTAAGAAGCATCTCATTCAGTATTTCAAGAGGCAAGGCTAATTCAGGATTGAACCCAGGATTTGGGCATTGTGGGCAGGTGTTTTACCTGAGCTACAATTCCAGCCCTCATTCAGATTTTTTTAGTCAGTACATTTCAGCTCACCTGCCAACATGTTTGAGGAGACTTCCTTTCCAGGATAAATTGAGTCAGTGGTGAAGGTTCCAATTCATATTTGTCAAAAGGCAGTTTGTCAATAACCATTGGTTCACAATCTGTACAGGAAAATTTCACTACAGGATGAGATGTACGAGGTGGCTAGAGGGAAAAGTTGTATTATTACTACTTATACAAAACACCAGAAACAAACTCACTTTAAATATACTTCCCCATCAAAACTTACTCAGTACCTCAGCTTTGCTACAGTTTGCTTTACTAATACAAGCGTTAGTAAGCTGAAGGAAAATACTTGAAAATATAATAAACTATAATCGCAAGAAAAAAACACTTCAAAATCCATATAAAATGAAAAAATCTTTTATTAGATGTCAAATTCAAAAGTTTGAAATTAAGTGTTAATTTTTACATCCAACAAACAAGGGATGTATAGAAACCAAGCCCTTATTTGTAGTTAAAGGTCACACTCATTTAAAGTCATGAGCAATTTGGTTTATATGATAGTATCCTCAATGTCCTAGACATATGTAAGGACATACTCAGCTACTTGTCTCCCCTCTAGACACATATGACACTTTTTAATTTCCATGCTTTTTTCTAAAAACTATTTCCTCCTCTAAGCAAAATCCTATCCACTCCTCTGGCTCATAACAATTTGCAACAGAATACAAGAGCAATAGGTAATGCCTATGACGACTCTGGTTTTGGATTTCTTTCCATTAAAATTTAACAAGTACCATATTTACTGCTTTGGATGTTAAATACAACTGAATGAATAACGAACAAGACAAGATAGCAAGTACGCCATACAAATCTAGGTGGTAAGAGCTAAAAAGAGCCCCAAGAAGTTAATTACCAAAGATATTGAAAGCTTCTGTATGAAGCCAGACTAAATTATAATGGGTCAAAATCAGAGAAAAGGAATTAACAAGATACCTCAATGAAATCTATAAAACCTTAATTTCATGTGTTACCACTTCATTATATTCCTAATAAGGACTTTTATTAATAGATCTAAATTTACAAACCTCATATAAACTCAAAATAAAATTATTCTGAAAGCCTGAGTACAAAAGGTTTCAAAGTGAATTCAGTTTAATTCATAAATGATAGTTGTATGAAACTATTAAAAACTGCTTAAGGATCTCTGAAATACAACTCATCTTCTACGAGTACTACATCAAAGAGAACCACTGTCATACTCTCCCACAGAATATACCTTGGTAGTGTTCTCAGATAATAAGGGGAAAAAAAACAAACTGCAAAAACAGTACACTAACAAAACTTTGTGTGTGTGTGTGTGTGTATACTGTTTATAATAACAATTCACATAAACAAGACCAGAAAATCTTTTCTAATTTAAACCTCCACAATACATTAATATAACTAAAACCATGCAAGTCAGTATGAATCTCTAAGACTTGAAAGATTGCAGGCAAACCATCAGAATTATTTTCTAAGCCTTCATTTAAATTTCAAATTGTCTCCCAGAGACAAATCTCCATGCTACATTATGTTTATAGAGTTCAAAAAGGAAATCTTACTACATTTTTGTGGTTCTGTATCTAGATGTCAATAAAAACAGTAGTGATTCTAAATTAAAGAGGTGAGTTTTTTCTGTTAGTTCACAATGACAAATACAGTATACTAAACCAAGTTAACAGCTTATCATAACACTCTGAAATCTGTATAATTCCTGTAAATGAGCCATACCTTTAACCAATAATAGTACTTAACTAATATGAAAGGCAGCTATTACAAAGACACAGTCTCTGTTGTACTTACCAGTGTTGGAGAATTCTGATCTGGCCAAAAAGATTCTGGAACAGGCCAATGACCTATAGGAACCCCAGTTTTCGGATTTGGTCTGACATATATGAGTTTGTGACAGCTATGCCAAGGCTGTGATCCAAAAGGCCTTGATACATCTGGCTGCCCATCTACAGCAATGAAATTAAAACAAAACATATAGGAGTAGAGGGGGAAAAAAAGTTAATTATATCCATTAGTCCTTAACTTAATAAAAATGTCCTAATTGGGTATATTAATTTCTGTATTTTCCTTTTACTTAAATTGCTAAATACTATGACTGCTTAACATTCAGAACACTGTGTATCACTAGATTGTAAAGTAGTAAGTTCCAACCATGAATTCACCAATAGAAACAGTCCCACAGCATCTTTTGCTTACCCAATTAGAACATATAAAACATACCATTATATTCTATGTCAAAAACAGTACCAGACACACAGTAAAATAGTTACATACTACTTTTCTTTTTTTTTTTTGTACTGGAGATCGAACTCGGGACCTTGCACTTGTGGGGCAGGGGCCGGAACCACTAAGCTAAATCCCCGGCCCCATACTACTATTTCTTAAAAGTCATTTTAACTAAAACCTAGTAACAAAAACAAACCACTTAAAATGGGAATCTGTATTCAAAGCACCTACCCTTAATCTAAAAATTGTAGCAGAATAACTTCAACAAGTCAATAAACTTTTACTCAATGCCAAAGTCTAAGTATTAATAATATAATTTAAAAACAAATACATGCTAACAATGTTTTTTGTAAAACCAGACACAATAATATAATTAAATCTTATCATCTTCTGCTCTTTCCCTATAATACCCTCTGAATATAACCATTCTTTCATCTCCAATTTTTCTCTCACTCTAGTAAATCATTTCTGCCAAGTATCATTAATGACTTTCTAATTTCTTCATGGGCACAAAAGCTGAGAATAAAGCTAAGTTGGGCTCATCTAGAGTTAAAAGAATCAAGTTTAACGGCAAAGGGTGGTTCCTCATTTTTGAAGCCACATAAATCTTTAGGTTCTGATCACTTTTATTCCTCTAGATGTAAAAGAACTAAGGAATTATATAAACCCCTAGAGTTGAACCACTGAGAATTAAGGGACATGGGGAAAACAAACATAGTAGATAGAGACAATGGTATAATACTAACAAGGAAACATGAGTTTGCTTATCAGTAAGTATGTAAAAAGGTGTTTGAGTCTTATTAAAATTTTAGGCTATGAATAACCATTAATATACAAGATGCTACCAAATCACCATCAATTTATCTTGACTTCCTTATTCTTTCCTTCTTTACAAATAGTAGTTTTGTCATACTGATAATTTGGCCTTGTTAATTTTAAAGCCAATTTAGAGTAATTTTTCAGTTCTAGTTGAATAACTGATAAACCAAATTTATAGGACATCTACAAGAAAAATGCAATAATACCTTCTACAGGAGAAGGATCTGGTCCTGCTTTTTCAAAGTTTATTACCACCCCACTTTGTACTTTCTGCACCAAGGACTCCAGACACTGATTAAGCATTCTCGGGGAACATACAGAGTATGAGCGGCCTGAGACAAAAAATAAAGTAAACTAGTTAGCTGTAAGAATTGATATTCTTTAACAAGAACTATAGTGAGATTTGACATTAATTAAAAGAAAGTCAATGGTAAAAGTTGACTTATTATAATCTTTAGGAAGAATGAACAAAAAGTTACTTCCAACCAACCAAACAATCCCATTTTATGAGCATATGTGAATTTTTTCTTCTCAGTAAAGGTAGATGGAACATAGAACTCTTGATCTGAACAAGCTACAATGGAAAAACAAAATCATATATTCTATCTATCTATAAAGCACTACGTCCAAGTGTTATCTAGTAATTTATCCTTAACATACAAGCACATTAAATAGTACTAGCAATTTCCCCAAAATCTAACTCCTAACGAAGTATTATCTCTAAGACTTACACTAAGCACACAGCCCTATTAACAATTATTTGTCTGATAGCAGTTAACACATTATTTTAAATACTCGCATTTTACTACACAGATTGTAGCACATACTTTTCTGAATTTCATTTGGCTTATATACACCTGAGAATTGTCTATCTTAAATTAATTCACCTTTTGTATATTTTAATCTATAACACTTTAAATTCAAAAGTATTAAATTCTAACAATTAAAAAACATTATGGCTGGAGATGTGCTCAGTGGCAGAGTGCTTTATGCAAAAGGTCCTGGATTTGATCCCAGCATCCTCAAAGAAAAACAAACCAAAAAGGAAAAACAAAACAAAAATACAACTGAAAAGATCTTTTAAACAAAGACTTTCAACAAAATATCTAGATCTTCGCTGCTTGATACTGTAGATACTAACCTCACATGGAGAAAATATTGAGAAATATTGAGAAAATGAAATATAGTCCATTTTGACATGTATATTAAGTCTAAACTATACACCTGATTTTATACTATGAATAAAATATCTCATTAGTAATTTTAAACACCATACCAATTTCATGTTGAAATATTTTAGATATACTGATTTAAATGTCATTAATTTCACCTGTTTCTTATTTTTAATGTGACTATTGGAATTTATAATTACACATGTGACCTGAATTATATTTCTGCTATACAGTGTTGATTCAGACCAACACTAAAAACCCTAACAGCTAAAACTCAATCTTCAACCAAACATCTTCTGATGTTGTGCTAAGATGAGTAAGTTCTCTCACACAAATTCAAACAGTTGCTTCAGAACACCAGCTATAAAGCATACTTGACATATCAAATCACCCATATCAAGTTATACATAATGTGATGTGTAAAGGCTACTCAGAAAAGAGAACATTAGGCAAAAGTGATTCAAATCTTCAATGTCAGCTTTACTTGGAAAAACTATTATATCCAAATCACTTACCTGTATATAATGATAATTATTTATTCTTAAAAATTACCTATCAATTAATGAGTACCTGACACTGTTCTAATTATTTTATTATGTTAATTCATTTAATCCTAGCAATGATTATATGGGTTATTTTCTCCATTTGACAAATGCAAAAACCAAGGCACAGAGAGGTCAAACAATTTATCCAAATTAGTAGTAGAGTGATACAGCCAAGGTATTATATAGGTATTAGAAACTTTCGTACCTGGAGATTACATGTTAATTTGGTATCGATATTTAAAATAGTAATAGTCATGATTATTTGAGGTAGTAAATTTTTTTCTAAGTCAATTTAAACATATATATAAAAACATAAAAAGGCTGACCATTTTTACACACAAAACATTTAAAGACTTTAGAATTATTTTATATCACAAAATTTAAGTGTCTTTCCAAGATGTCATTAAAAAACAAAAAATTTTAACTGTAGCAATTCTCTCTACTCCCCCATGTTGTACCATCAATTATGAAAATATACGTAATCAGTTATGATCTTTTTTTTGAGGCAGGGATCTTGCTATGTTGTTTAGGCAAAGCTCAAACACATAATCCTCTAGTCTTCAGCCTCCCAAATAGTTGGGGTGTGTATACCACAGAACCCAACTCAGTTATGAGCTTAATACAAAAAATTACTAATAAAGATGTTTTATAAAAAATTAAAGGAAAAGTGAATATACTTGAGTAATTTGGCAAATAGTAAAAATCCATTATCTCAAAAGTTAAAGAGAACTAGAAAATTTTACTATCTTTATAAATAAAAGGAGCCTATACCCTACATGATGTTCTTCTTATTCATACTAATTGTCTACATCAAAACTCATCCCTTCGAATTATATACTTTGTGCTAAAGCATAAAGTTTAGGGATTCACTAATTACCGTTTTGAGAAAAAAAAAATGTATTATGACACACCTTTAAGTCAAGAAGCTGGCTCACTTTGGGTTATGCAGAGTCCAGACCAAAAAAAAAAAAAAAAAAGGTCAAACTAAATATAGTAAATCTGAAGTCAATACGATTCATAAAATAAAGAAGTAAAAGAACATTTCTAAGTTAGGCAACAGTCCTTAGGGGCTAAGAAAGTTAAATATATTTAACCTAGAAAAATCTGCAAATAATTTCTATTTGCTTTATCTTTGATATTTCCACCAATATGTCTATTAGACATTTTAAAATTTGCTGTCATCCCTGTACCTTCCTCAAACTTGCTCTCCACAGTGTACCCATTTGAGTTCCTAACAAAGCCATTCCTTTCTATTGGTTTAGGCCACATCATCTGGAAATCATCCTAAACTCCTTCCTTCTTCATTGCTGTATCCTTGGTTCTCCACCGTATCAGACTATCTCTTGCCACAGCCTAGCACTCTAAACCAAAGTACTATATAATCTCTTAATCTCTTACTAATCTCCCTGCTTCTATTCTTGCCACTCTATAGTTTCATCTAAAAGCTGAAGTGACCTTTCAGAAACAGAAATGAGACTGTCACTCCCTATCTTTTAAAGAAGCTCTCCAAAATAAATAAATAAATAAATAAATAAATAAATAAATAAATAAATAAATATTTAAAATTAAATTCGAAAGCCCTCCAATGGTTTCCTGTAACATTTGGAAAAAAATTTTAAATTTATTATTGTCAAAAAGGCCAGTCAATATTTAGCACTCGTCTACCTCTCTAAACCTGTTATTCTCTACTCTTCTCTATGTAAACTCAAGCCATATTGGCCTTTCTATTGTTCCCAAATAAATACAGTGTGCCACTTCCCTTACTACTTTCTTTTTCTAAATCTTCCTATGGTTAACTATTTTTCAGATCTCTGTTCCAACATCACCTCCTCAGAAGGAAATTTACCTAAAAATAAAAATACTCATACTTAGTCGCCAGTTACACTTTACTGCCTAACTCTAATTTTTTCCTATTCATAGTAGGTAGTACTCTCTAAAATATTAATTCAATGATTATCTGTCACCTAATCCAATAATATAAGCTTTCTGTCTATTCCTAGCATCTAGAAGTTATCTGGCATAGAAAAGACACTCAATTACTTGGTAACAAAAAGAAAATGCTTACAATGATTATTATGGAATTTTTTTAATAGTGTACATAAAAATACAGCATATTGATGATTTTGGCAATATAGATGAATTTCTTTGTAATCTTTCTTTCGTGAACATGAATTTCCCATAATTCCTAGCATTAAGCTAAAAAACTGTACAGGAATTGTTACTAGTGATTACATATATGTATACTACAATACCAATGGATATTAGATTTTTTGTTCTTGCTACTTTTCTGGTGCTTTATCTCCAAAACTTTATTCAGTGAACATTCTTTCTTTCAAATTAAAAAGAAAGAAAAGACATTATTCAGATATATGAAAAGGTGAGTGGCATTTGTGTAGCTTCCCATTATTGCTTATAAGAGCATAAAAGGGGGCAAATAAACTACTACATCAGGAAGGATCCAGAAGTATATTTAGGGAAAGCGTCCTAATTTCTTGACTAAGATTTCTGGGTCAATGAAAGATATTACCAAGGGTGACTTCGGAATCTTCTCCTCTGGAGATGTTCCTTTCAAAGAATAAACAAAATAACTTTAGTACATTACTGCCCAAAGGCAAAGATATCAACTACTACATGATTCTCAAGGTTCTTTTCACACCCTTTCTGACTGTACCACTCACTTGATTTCACACTCTGAATATTCCTGGAAGATAAATGTTATAGTACATATAGTCCCGTAACTTCATCATAACTGTAAATTCAAACAAAGTAATTTATTGTAAAAAATTTCCAGTGTGAAGATGTCTAAGTTATAGCTCAGAGTCCTTTGCAATCTGTTAAGTAAAAACCTCGAAGTTAAAAAAAAAAAAAAAACAGGATTTTTAACAAATAGGTCAGTTCAAAGCTGGAAAAACAACAATTTTATTACATAAATGTTTCCCATTAGGACTACCACTCAAGAATATTGGACAGAAAATTGTTGGCAGCACATTATTCACTATTAAAGCCCTAAAGCATGGAAAATTCTTGGTACATTGTAGGCACTCAATATACATCTATATAAAATTAATCCATCTGTTAATTTCATGGTATGGAAGATCGGGGCCTATTATGCATTCTATTTAAGATTCTTTTTTAAATTTCCATAGCATGATGGCTACCTGATCTGATCTATGCTACCTGTTTCCTCTAACTCATCTACCTACCTCCTTGCTTCTACAAAAACTTCACTTAACTAGGCATATCCTACCAAATGGATAATGAATTGTTTCCCAAAACAATGTTTACAGAAAACAATGCTACAGCATTTCTATATCACTGGTGGCCTTTGTAGCTAAGAAAATTTAACAACTTCAAATACCCTATACCTTCAGTATTCCCTATATGGGTGGGAAAAAATTACTATTCTTATTCAAACTTCTTTTATTTTTGAGACAGGATCTCGCTGTGAAGTCCAAGCTAGTCTTGAACTTATTATGCACCCCAGGCTGGCTTCAAACTCAAGGGAATCCTTCTGCCTCAGCCTCCTGAGTGCTGGGATTATATAAATGCGCCACCACTCCCTGCCTACCATTTATTATGAGTTCCAATAGTGACCACATCTTTTCAAATCAAGATCACAGGCCATCATCAATAGTGTAGTTTTAAAATCATGTTTCTATTGGTTCCTAATGTTAACATATTAAACAAAAACAGAATTTTTGAAACACACATTTTAACATATTCAGAGTAATTCTAAGTCACAGAATTACTGCAGCAAAAAACTTACCGCCTGTTACTTCACACATTGGTGTGATTGCAGAGTCATCTAAAGGCACACCTGTCAACTGTTCTGATTCTACTGACATAGTGCCAGGCAACCGCAACACTAATGCAAAGAGTCTCTGATCCCAACGAAAAGGTTCCTTGGTCAGTTCACTTCCAGGCAAAGGAGAATTGAGAGGTAAATGGAGCTAAAAGTAACAAGGGGGAAAAAAAGCAGTAAGATTTTTTTCAAAAAAGCTACTTCAATGACATTTATAATAAAAATTCATTGAGTCTATCACTCCAAAACAATCTGAACAATGTATTCAGATATACCTAATATCATACATGATACTGTTGTTTCAATTTTCTAAAACTTTACTCCAAGACCTAAATTAAAAAAATAAAATCTGTACTATTGTAATGCATTTCAGATTTAGATTCAATTAGCCACCAGATAGTGGACTGCTTGCAAATAAATCGTTTAATTATTAAAACCAATCTTGTGACGGATATCTATCTTACTATTCTTATTTTATGTCTGTGTGTATGTGTATGTATTTTTAAATATACATCATACATCTACAAGAGAAAATGATTTGACATCCTGGTTCCATGTCAATATTTTTATTACATCACAGCAGCCTCAAACATATCCACAATTCTCAAACATTTTAAATATATTTCATTTTATACAAGACACATGTCCCTAAAGTGTTTGCATGAAAGTAGATTTTGTCACTACATACGAAAGGTAGTGATTCTTACCATATCTAAGTAAACAGAAGGGTTTTGGGATTTTTTTTGTGGTTTTTTTGTTGTTTTTTTTTTGATAGAAAAATTCTTTAATCAAAACAAGTTTACACATCAACACTTATGGCTTAACTAGAATAAATCAGTCCAAAACTCTATTATGGACAAAACATACAATGAGTGATACAGCAGAGTTCCCTCAAAACAGCTCTATTTTAAGACCTTGCAAAAGCAAAAATCCAATTACTGAAATAATTCAGATTTTTTATGTATAGATGAAAACAACTGTCTGAGAGGTCAAGACATACAATTCCTGTCCCACACAAGTACTAGTAATAAGTCATTTTTCCATATTCATATAATTTTAAAACATAAGGACAAATCTTTCTACCTACTGAAAAACCACCAACTGACCTAAAATTTAAGATCTTAGAAATGTCACCCTTTAGTTAATAAACTCTAAATTTTGTGTTAATGTTGGTTCACCCTGATTTACTCCATATACATCAAAATACAGACTAGCATTGCCTTGGAACAATTCATGTTTCTACTTTTTTGTAATCCTGTTACATGTATGATAGAGAAATGATAAAATTCCTTTCTAATACAGCCATGTTTTCAAACAAGTTAACTTTTTCATATACCATTTATTCATATTTACCACGTAAGCATCACACATTAATTTTTTCCAATTAAAAAAATACTATTTGTGACTTAATGAGTGTGACTCAAGACATTTCTCAAAAATAAATGCTTCGTTTTCAGGTTGAGTTTCTTATGCCTTATGAAGGGTCTCCTACTGCAGAGCCCTAGACTTACTCATTCTGAGGTGTACCCAGTCCGTTCCCGTAGGGAAGTTAGATGCCTCCACTGAACGCCTAGCACATTGCTTTCAGAAGTTAACGTGCACTTTGGACCGCAAAGAACTACCAGTTCAATGTCCACTGACTATCTAGTTATACAAAAGGGTGTCAGGCTACACAGTGTTACAGAGAAGCAGGAGAATGTAGCACACTGTGAGATTAAAACTAACTTTTGATAAAAAGGAAGGAGTGAGTACTTGTATAGAAGTAACACTTTACCAACCATAAAAATGCTCGACTTCTACAAAACCCACAGTGAAAAGACAGTCTGGTAAATCCAAGATTTGTAAAAACTATGCACAAAACCCACAGAATCTGAGAAAAGGGGGGAAATATTTATACAAATATAAGTTTTAAAAATGTAACTTTGTTCTACCAATTACTGTGTTTTATTTTTTAATAGATGCTTCTCCCCATTTCTGTCAGACATGTGAAATCAGAATGTCTTCTAAGATTCTTAAGAATCTTTTAAAAAGCTTTAAAATGATTCTAATGGGCATCTGTACCAACAGAGAAATAGTATTCCAACAGGTTCCACACAAACCAACCTACCTACCTTCCTTCTCTCCTCTTTCCTATATAGGGCGATACTGGGGATCAAACCCAGGGACACTCTACCACTGAGCTACATCCCCAGCCCTTTTTTCATTTTATTTTGAGACAGTATCTCATTAAGTTACCTAGCTGGCCTGAAACCTGTGATCCTCCTACCTCAGGCTTCTGAGTAGCTAGGATGATAAGTATGCACCATGCACCTGGCTGACATGCAATTTTAGTATCACTGAAATAGGGGCAACTCGACAACACATCTCTCATGACATGACAAAATAAGTTCATAACATTAAAGAAAGAATGGTGGAAGAAAGGGAGCAAGAAAAAGAGGGGAGTAAAGGAAGGAGGAAGAGAGAAAGACTAAGGGAAAATGAAGGCTGGGTATGTAGCTCAGTGATAGAGCAATTGCCTAGCCATGGGTTCAATTCCCAGTAAGACAATCAGAAAAATCTGATATGTTACTGGAATTATTAACAATATCTAAAGTATGTTAGTGGTATGTATGTTACTTGGGGAAAAAAACCCCTTATTAGTTATTAAAAAAATGTTTTAATGTCCAGGGTTGGCATACTCAGGTACTTCTACAAATATTGAAGTTTTTAAAAAACATAGAACATGTTTAAATCATCACTCTCAAATTAATGGCCAAGAATTTACACTAACTTCTTCATAAAGCAAGAATGACTTGAATTGCTTTGCAGCCTTTCTAATTATCAGAGAGTTCTGAAATTGAAAACTGGATCATTCTACAATGATTTAACACTCATATTTCTTCACTGGCTTACATAAAACACTTAAAAAATATTTTTTAATTCTAGGAAGAGAGTTCCTAGGGAAGCTGTGCTATGTTGGCACCTCTCTCCCAAAGATTCATGCCAAGAGAATATGCTAGAAGAGTCCCTTATCAGGATCAGCCAAGATTTTGTGACCATGGATAGAAGTCATGTGCTTTCTCTGGCAGTGGTCCTATTTAAGGCAAAAGGCAGGGACAAGAGGAAGAAACGCCAAAGAAATCTGCACCAGGATATTCCGTGAGGAAGAGTCTCCAACCTCAAAGGGACTGTGATACTTGCAAACAACCAAGAACTAACTTGCTGCTTTTACTGTATCTTGCCAGGAGATAAATGAAAAAGCAATAGGGCCGGGGATTTGGCTCAGTGGTTTCGCCGCCTGCTGCGCAAGTGCAAGGACCTGAGTTCGATCCCCAGTACCAAAAAAAATGAAAAAGCAATATTTACATCATCTTTCCTTCAACCCTGCCAACCACTTTTGACTTTGGAAAACAACTACCATGTGCTTGGTCATTTTCTCTCAGTCATAGAAATGTCAAAGCATCAGGAGTATTTGCTAAAGAGGATCTCAAGTGTTAATGCAGTTGCTCTGCACAGTAATGGATATATAAAACTGCTTCAAGAATCAAAGGGGTAACAGGCATTGCACAGACATATCCACAACTAATCAGGTAATGATGAGCATCTGCAATGCAGACAACATTCAATAATTGGCCTTTGGTTGTACAATGCTAAATCCGGAATGTATTTCAAGTAAAAAGAAAAGCCAACAAGGCTCTTAAGACTATTTCTAAGCATTTTACACATGGCTGTTTCAGTTAGGTAAAACTTTTTTCAAATTTTGATTCATTTTTCTATTTCTTATTTTCCTCTCCCCATATGATCACCAACCTCTCAACACCAAAAAGGGAAGTGGGAGTGGAAAGAATGTACTGGTAAAACAGGAAGGAGTAGCAGGAAAACAGGAACAGGAAAAAGATAAAAATCAGAAGAAAAATATTCTTAGGAGGACTGAATTATTCAAAATCTAAATTTTACAGGTGAAATTCTAGTAGCATTTTAAAAATTACAAACAAGGAGTTTTCATGAAAATATAGACTTTGAAAATCAAAGAAAACTGCACATAAATCAAGAAAAATTATAAAATTAAACATTAGAAAAATATACAATAAAATTAAGCTCCTAAAAGTGAAAATAAGAATACCTTAGAAGAAATTCAAATGCCCTATATGACTAGTTATAAAATAGAAAAAAAATCTCAATGAGATACATAAAATCATATGCATAAAATTAGCAAAAAATTTAAGTGACAATACCAAGTGATAAGAATATAGAATAACAAAAGCACTCCCAACAGTCTTGGTGACCTGTAAGTGTACAACCACTTGGAAGACCAGTATCATCTAAAATGGAAGACAACTGAGTATTACTTGGAAGACAAGCATATCCTAAAACAGGAATGCCACCTCCTAGAGAAACTCTGTTTTCATAAAAAGTCATGTAAAAGGATGTAATCAGTGGTAAAGCATGTGCTTAATATACACAAGGATCTGAGTTCAACTGCCAGTACACCCCCCCACACACACAGTCTATAATATTATTTGAAACCGGAAAACTAGAAAAAGCCTACAAGACCAATAAAAGAATCAATAAATAAACTGCTGTCTGTTCATACACCACAGGTGAAATGAATAAATCTCTCTTAAGATTCAATATGGATGAATTTCAAAACAGTATTTTTGAATAATATATAAATTTTAAAACTTGAATTATGAATGTACAGCTTGAAAATTTTTTACAAGCTAAATACTATGTAACTTAATTTATGCCCCCCAAAATAAAGAAAAAATGCTTCAGCCTTTTTGGTGTGTGTGTAATGTGTGTGTAGTAGTATCTCAGTAGCATTTCAATTTCCCTGTCTATGGAAATTGATAACCTTTTCATACACATACTGGCCATATCAATGTGCTTTTTGTGTGAAGTACTTGTTAGTCTTTTCTACTTTATTTTTAGTTGACTTTTTCTTATTGGTTTGGAGAATTGTTAATATATTCCAGGTATCACTTAGTTGGATACAGGTACAGCAAACCTTTCCCCACCTTGTGACTGCTTTCATTATTATAGTGCTATCTTTTGATAAATGTTCTTTTCCTTTCAAAATTAGCACTTTTTGTGTCTTCAAAGATCATGAAGATGCTCTTATACTCAATTCTAAAATCATTAGTATTTTACCAGTTATAATTAAATCTA